TCTACACTGTTATCTCAGACCTTGGGAAAATACCACTTGAGCAAAGGCAATTGTATTGCTTCACCTCAGGGCATATCCTGAACAGAGGGACTCCAGGTTAGCTTATAGAAACTCTAAAACTAAGCTAAGCCTTGACCAAATGGTTAAGATTTTCTTCAGGATCTGGGCTGGCAACGGCCTACAGGTATTATTGGTGGAGTCTTAATCCAGAGACCAAGATAATGTTCTTGGTTTGGATCCTCCCATGGCAGATGGTGGAATTTTAATTTAATAAATCACGAATTAAGAATCTAGTGACCACTCTGAATTGGTTTCTGGCTGTTAGAAAAACCCATCTGGTTTACTAATGTCCTTAATGGAAGGAAACTGCCATCCTTACCTGGTCCAGTCTACACAGGGTTCCAGACCCACAGCAATGTGGTTGACTCTCTCTTGCCCTCTGAGCAATTAGGGATGGGCAATAATTGCTGCCTAAAAGTGATGTCCTCATCCCATGAATGAATAAAGAAAAATATGGGGACCTTAGGCAGCAAGTCCCACTCCATCTCTCGTATAACAGAATTCAATGGCTGGTATCCAGGAGAGTGCACAGCCTGGAATGTCTGCCCACATCTGGTTTGGAATCAATCAAAAATGTTGGGTTAAATGGTCACCCTGCTCTAATGCGGGTCAATACTGATGCAGCTGTTTCAGTGATTGTCGAACCAGAGTTTAAGGGTTGAAGTCCAGACTGAATTTTCATTTTTCCACAAGACCTCCACTAGACTGAACTTGTATTGGGGAATTCTTACTGAATAAAGAGTCCAACTTCAGTTCTGGTCTCGTGAGAAGCAGCTAGATCAGTTACTACTGATTGTACTAAAAGGCTCAGGCCCAAGCTTGATCGGGCAAAATTTCCTGAGAAAGATTGACCTAGATTAGCTCAACGTTTTTCAATTAGAAAATGGCTGCCTGAGTGAAGTCCTAACTAAATACCCTGAGACCTTTCAGGAAGGTCTAGGGACTATCAAATGAGCAAAGGTCTCCTTGCGTGTTGACCAGGAAGCAATTCCATGATTCTGCAAAGTCTAACCAGTGCATTTGTGTTGGTGGTAAAAGTACCAAAAGAAATGAGGCTGGAAAGCAAAGGAATTGTGAAACCAGTCCAGATTGTGGAATGGGCAGCACCAGTTGTACCAATTTGTGAAGCCCGCCAGGACTGTTTGCCTTTGTGGGGATTTTAAACAAATGATAAATGGCTTTTCACAATTGGATAAATAACCAATCCCTTCCAAAGAGGATTTAAAAGCAAAGCTGGGGAGGGATAGTCCTTCATGAAACTGGACATGAGCCCTGCTTACTTGCCATTGTCTTTAGATAAGAATTCCCAGATGTATGCTTGAATTAAAAAAAAGGGTTTGTACCAATGAGACTGCCTTTTGGGGTATTGTCAGCCTGTGCAATTTTTCAATGGATGATGGAGAACATTTTAAAGGTCTACCCCAGGTCATCATTAGCTAGAAAACATGTAAATAACAGATGACCAATAAGAAGCACTTAGATAATAGTCCTTGGATGTTTCTCGCCCATTAGAAGGGAAAAAATATGTTCTAGGCACCCCAAGTGACCTGTTTGGGTAACAGCTAACAAGACTGGGTTACACTCATTGGAAGATAATGAGGATGATCAAAGGTGCCCCAGCTCCCACATCTGTACTGCAGCTTAGGTTTTTGCTTGGGCTGGTGAATTATCAAAAGAAAGTCCATACATAACTTAGCTTCCATTTTGGCACCCTTTAATACAACTCTTAAAGGGGCAAACTTGGAAATGGTTATGTAGCCAAGCCATCACTTTCAGGGAAGTGAAGAAACCACTATCCTCCAAGCTGTTGTCACAGTATGATTCTCAAGCAAGATCTGGTATTGACATGTAATGCCTCCCTATATGGCATCAGGTAGTATTAGCTAAAAGTCTCCCAAAGGAGAGGAACGCCCAATAGCATATGTGACCAGAACTTTGACTCATGCAGAGCATAAATATAACCAGATAGGAAAAAAAGTTTGGCAGTCATATTTGGAGTGAAGAAGTTTCAACAATACCTTTTATGGGAGTAAATTTCTAATAACATACCACAAACCCCTGCAAGGTCTGCTTGGAGGACAAAGCAGTGGTACCCATAGCTTTGGGCCAAATTCAGCAGTGGGCTCTAATATTTGTATAATTACAAGTTGGCACACAGTCAGGGAGGCCAAGTAGCAAATGTGGATGCCTTGAGCAGCCTCCCACTGGCAGATACAGCTACCACTCATAGCTAACATTGTCAAACTTCAGATGCAGAAAGATCCAGTCACAGCAAAATTGAAATAGTTGGCTATGGGGAAATCAAAGGGCCATCACAACCAGAATTGAAACCTTTTTGGACTGAGATCACAGTAGAGGACAGCATATTATGTGACTATTCCGAGCAAAAGTTGCTGACGGATATTGACTGCACTCCAGGGGTTTACAAATGAAGATGTTGATGAGAAGTTGTATCTGGTGGCCAGGATTGGATGCAGACATAGCTGCATTGGTTGGGCAGTGCCCAGAGTGCCAACAAGGCCAAATTACCACCAACAGCTCTCCCACCATTTGTGGGAATGGCCAAGTAAATCCAGGACTCAGTTACACACTGACTATGCTGGTCCTTTCAAGGACTCAATGTTCTTGGTCATTATGGAAGCTTGCTCAAAATGGCTAGATGTGCATTTTTCATCTTCTATCATCCCCATCTTTTACAAAAGCTCCATGTATCTTTTGTAATACAGACTCCCAGAAGTGTTGGTTGCACATAACAAGCCATTGTTTACCAGCAGGCAATTTTTGAGAATTCTGTCCTGGAACACAAGGGCAGTTCCATACCATCCATCATCCAATAGTCTGGCACAAAGATCCTGCCAAACTTTGCTTGTAGAGCAGTTCTCTAGATAGTAAGATAAAGAACTGCAGATACTGGAGTCGGAGATAAGTGTGGAGCTGGAAGAACACAGCAGGTCAGGCATCAGAGGAGCAGGAAAGCTGATGTTTTGGGTCAGGACTCTTAGTGAAATGTTCTTGTTCCCTTTGATCATAGGACCACCCCTCATGTAACTTCATAGACAGCTCCAGCACTATTGCTAAAGGGAACAAGACTGTACCAGGTTAAATCTGATCTTCCTGGCCCTGGGGTGGAGGGGGGAGGGTG